GGGGGGGGGCGACTTACTGTAACACAAGGGTAAGAAGCTTTATTGCTTGCACTGCAACATCGTACTCCTTGTCTAGTGTCATTGACACAATACGGTCCTGATGGGATGGAAAATAAAGTCAATATTCTGCACAGAATAACTTCTAATATGCTAATGCTTCAACAGGCTTCACTGAACATTAACGATCACTCGGTGAAGCTCTGTTAGAGGTCTGGTGGGCTGGGGAGGAACTAGCATTTAATGCTACATAGGATGGGACCATACTGTAAGGTAGCTAACAGCAATGTCACGCGATACGTTTATCAGGATGAAAGAAAGAAGACTAGCCAACGACGAGACAGCCTCCACAGCACAGGCACTCACCTTGAAGCGGCTGGTGAAAAGCTCTAGCTTGGTGTTCAACTCCCTGTTGTGGTAGAGGCCTTGCAAAGCAGTTAGACACTTCAGTCTCACCTCACCTTGCTAGAAACGAGAGGCAGATCATTAAAACTGGGCTCCTTCAATTACAACCACACAGCAAAACTAGAAATATTCCTTGGGAAGACGGACCCACCTTGTCGTGCATTGTCCAGCCCACGTACTTCAGATAACTGTCATTCAGAAAGGCGTCGCTGTACATCTTCATCCAGACTCCAATCTCCTCGATGCAGATAGCACGGATCTCTGCTATCGCATCACTATGGGGTGACGAGGTCAACATTAGAAGCCTAGACCCCCCATTATATAACATATTGTGCTATAGTACTATTCAAAGTACTGTGCAACGTACTCTTAAAACACAGTATCCACAAACCTAACTGCAGATCAAACAAATCGATATATTAGTTACAACTGCAGTATATCAAACGCACTGCAGTGTATACTGCTACTTCACAAAAGTTAAACAACTTCAAGGAAATGAGTAGCTATGGGGCAATCCACATACCGGTATCTGTGAACAAAAACGCCTTTGAATATTGCATTCATCATGTTTTCAATCTCGTCTTGATTTTCTTGAAGCTGGAAGAAAGACACTGTGAGCCAAAAATCTTCAAATTGTTTCACAACTAAAAACAAAAATTCAACCATTTGACATATTGCCTAGGAGAGAAGAATGTGTTTTGTTGACTAGTACTTAAAAATATATCAGGCTTTTGGTTTTGTAATGAAGACTATGCTCACTGCCATGACATTTTTCAAATTACACAAGCTAGCAGATGGTATCCCAGCAGGCAACGCTGTTATGTAACTCAAAGTTAATTAATACTGCCAGATAAACAGCACCACTCCAAGAGGGCCCTGAGGACTGAAATAAAAATCCTAAACAGTCTCACCGATACACTCCTTGACAGGCACTGCCTTTCCGAGCACAATTTCAGTCATGCATTTAATCTACAGAGGAAAGGTTGCACTTTTTCTTCAAGGCTGGCATAAATTACAGGTTTCAGCTTTCTTACTGTAATACAGTAAACTTGTCTTCTGAGGAATTATCAAGGAGTGCGCTTAAAATAAACCATAAAAATTCCAAAGATTTCTAACTAGTACAGCGAATGCTTTTGAAATATTGAGCAAAGACATAGTCAGAAGCGGCTTTAAGGATGGCTGATTTTTTTACCTCTTTACGTTTCTGCAGCAGAAGCTCCAGTCGGTCGTTTGCCCGCTTGCCGATGATCTTATTCCTCTCGGCCTCATACTGCCTCTGCGTGTTGTCCATGTTGATGCTGAGGTTGAGCGCCACATTCACCAGGGCCGTCATGAGCTTCATGGCTGGAGGATTGAAAGTCAGGGAAAGGCCTGAGTCAACGAAACAAGGTCTGCCCTCCAGAAAAATAACATCAGGGAGCTTCAGAAAGGGAAACCCGGCCAAAATATCCCCCCACATACTGGCTGGCCATGCTGCTGGTTCTCACCTGCTAGTGTGCTGGTGTGACGGAAGGCCCGAACCTGGGAATCTGACAGGCCCGTCAGCAGTGAGATGACAGTGTCCATCATGTACTCATCGTAGATGATACTGTACTGACACTGCCGAACCAGCACCCCGATGAACTCGCAGAAATTGGATTTGAATTTCTTCCACTGTGGCCCAGCTATGGTTAATGGGTAGTCGCCACTGTCCTAAAGAAGCAGACAAGACCGTGTAATGTGCAGAATCTAGAAGGGCAACACCAAATTTAAAAAGAGAAAAACAATTGAGCATTGCAAGATACTTTTACTGAACAGAAATAGGCTACCAACTGAATTCGATCAAGTATATTAATACCTGGAGGGGAACTTAAGCGCAGAAATCAATGTTGATGGAACAATTTAACTGAACCCCAAAATATGTGAACATTATTTTAATTACCTTCATTCATTTTCATTAACACTCATTTAAATGCTCCTACATTAGGTAGCTGCATTACCGATGCATGGGTGTTAATCCAAAACCTTCAATTATAACTGTAGGCGTTGCAATTTTAAAGCAGCCTATTATTTCTCGCAATTTAAATTAAAATTGCCCGATGCGTACCTCATCAAACTCCTCTGTCATCTTACGGATGATTTCTGAGTTTTGCATGTGTCTGAACATTTCCCCACTGACAACACCTGACATGGAGAGGAGAGCATTCATAATTTACTCCAACTGAGAACAAGGTTATAAAAAGGGAGATAAGCACATATTGTAGCAAAACGGAAATATACCTTTACATCCCGAACACTGGATGAAGAAGTTGATTAAGTCGAGAAGTGCCGTATCTCTGTCGTGCTTGTAGGACTCAATCCAGTCATCGACAACAGACTGCAAATAAACAAAGATTTAATAATGAACAACTTTTTCAAGCTATAATATTTAGTTGTAATTCAATATTTTCTGTATAAACTGTTGCATTATGTGCTTACATATGACAGATAAGGACCTTAAGCAGTTTGGAAGGGAGGTGCATCTGTTGGACACTGACCGCACGGCACTCTTTCCCAGCTTAACCACCACTGACCGCACGGCACTCTTTCCCAGCTTAACCACCACTGACCGCACGGCACTCTTTCCCAGCTTAACCACCACTNTCTTTCCCAGCTTAACCACCACTGACCGCACGGCACTCTTTCCCAGCTTAACCACCACTGACCGCACGGCACTCTTTCCCAGCTTAACCACCACTTACCTGCATGGCACTCTTTCCCAGCTTAACCACCTCAAAGAGCATCATGTTCTCCACGCCGTTCTCCTGGTGATGCCCATTGATGCGGCCGGCTCCTCCACCCTTGGCCCCAGCCCCACCTTTGCCCTTCTCTCCAGGAGCCTTCTTTCCTTTCTTGGTGCTCTGAAGGACCACAAGAGGAGTGTGGTTAGAAAACAGCACAGACGTTTCCCGCAGCCCAGAACCGACGGTGTCAACAATGGCAAAAGCAAGTGCAGTATAAATACCAGATCCTATCAATCAGCCCTGCTACTTGCAGTACACACGCGTAGCTTTGTACCTTTCCTTTGCCTGGGTTTGCATTCTTCCCATCAGGATCTTCAAAGTCAGTGTCAGAAGAGAAGTGTGTATCAGTTTCCCTGTTCACAAAAAGGTAGCATTAACAGTTATCAAATTTCCAAACACCACACAGTTCTAGAATGTCACTGCCCATTGATTTGTGTATATCGCACTGCATGAAAATAATACTTACTGATGAAAATGAAACTCTGCTTGCAATTCTGGTGCTGCTATCATTTCTTTAACATCTTCTGTAGCACCTCAACTTTTAAAGACTTCAACTCTTCATAGACAATAGTAAAACAGAACTGTGTTTGAAGTCCTGCAAAAAAGAACAAAAACATTCCAGATGATTATGCAGCCATTCTGAGGGAAGGATGTTTCAAATTGTTTGTTTCAAATCAAATACAAAATCAACATCTCAAAGCATAAATTTGCAGCTAAACATTACAACTGGGTGCAGTTATTTTTTTGATTTTTAAAAATTAAGTTAGTATATAAAGAGTTGTGCTGACACAGCACATAAAAAGGCTGGCATAATCCACAAAACATAACGATATCTAATATGAAAAACAACAGTGTCAATGGAACTTTACAGGTGGTCAGGTTTGCATGAGCTGCCATTAAAGTGAAAACAAGGTTTTGGCCACTAGGGGTGCAATATTGCACTCCTTATGAGCTCCTGCTCTTTGCCATCAACCCACGATATTCTGCAAGTGCCATATAGACAGAACAGAAAGACACATTAAGGAAACATGCATTTAATTTACAGTTTTTCAAATTTATATTTTAAGCTTTACAAAATGGTTAGTAGTGGAGGAGAACAGACCAAATTCAAAAGTTCTTTGAAGATAACAGGAAGTGTTCAGAGCTTCAAATGGGCAGCTTTAGAGTTGTAGTTTTAACCCAAGTTGGTATAAAGATCACTTGAGGTCATGACTGCTAACAAAAATGTAAAAGCACAAATCCCACCACTACCCACAGCCTGGGAGAATGCAACATGACCTTGCCCAGTCACCCAGTGTTAGTCGATTCTAATAGACTGTTGGATTAAGCTGGATCGTTATAACTTTCCTTGCTGCAGACGCATTGGAAGCTGAGAAATGGTCAGAAATGTGAAACGCTACATCTCTAAAGGAAACTGGGTGGGCTTGCTTAAGAACTAATAGGTCAATCAAATGGCAAAGGTCCTAATTCAAACAGGACCTAAGAGTGGATAAGAGGACACAAAATACACAATGTAGTTGAGGAGGAATGACACTATTCAATAATCAGCAGCCAACAAAAGCACTCCAAACAACCTCTTAACATTCCTTCAATTCAAAGGAATCAAATGCACAATAAACTGTTTTCCTGTTCGGCCTCCACATGTGGTAATCTTCATTTGTCAGACTACCATCAGATTACAATTTGATATGCTACTCCAAAGTGAAAGACAGTCCTATAAAACGAAACAAGAGACAAACTGCAAGCAAAAATCTGTCTCCCTACAGGCTAATTCACCACTGAGTGCCATCAGTATGGGGTGACAATGAAGTATTTTAAAGAAATCTGCAACTAAACTCACTTTTTTTCCCCTCCAATATAGGCCATTTTAAATGAGAGAAAAGTTGATGTGGCGGTGCATAACTCCAAAATTCTTGGTTAAGAGATCATGTAACAGATGAATATAAATTTATTGATCCCAGGGAGAGATTCTGGTGCATACAGCACAGATAATCATACCTCTACCACAAAACAGACCAGATGCAGAGACAGTACACGTAGTGAAAACAAGTAAACACAGCGCAAAAAAAATTAAAATTACACAGCACACCAATAAAATATTTAGAAAAGTAGAATATCTGCAGGCAATGTGTCTTGCAGTCCTCCAAGCCAGAGGCAATGCAGATTGGAAACATCATACATCCGCCTGCCAAATTCATGCATATAACCTACAATATTATTAATGAAACTCCCCAAAATTATGACAAACACCTGAATAGAATGTACAAGCTACAATCCTAATTCTGCAAACTGTAATTCAAGGAGAATCAAGACCACTTAGCTCAGAAGCCAAAATTCCTCTTCCCAGTTGCATACTAAAAGGTCACGATAGCATGCGTCAGCGATTCTACAATGTTTTTGACTCAAAACAAAATAGTTTCATGTCTAGCAACACAGACAGTTAGGCACTTCGACCATACTATGGGCACGAGGCGGGGAACAACCCAGGATGGGGGGCCAGCCCATCGCAGGGCACACTCACACACCATTCACTCACAAATGCACACCTATGGGCAATTTCGTAATTAGCCTCTTTAGCATGTCTTTGAAGATACCCCACGACGACATGGGGAGAACATGCAAACTCCGCACACATGGAGCCCGGGCGGAGACTCGAACCCTGGTCGCAGAGGTGTGAGGCAACAGTGCTAACGACTGTCTGAATTTTGAAAGTTTGCAATGATTAGAACTTAAAATTAAAGCAAATGTGGAGCAGTATGACTCAGTGAGTTGCACTGTATTGCCTAGGGCTGTTGCGATCACATCACAATCTAATTGCGATTATATAACGCATGCGCAATAACCACCAGGGCTTTAGATGACAGGTGAAACAAATGCTTCTAGTGTCCGGACGCCAGCTTTTCGGTTACGGACATTTACTTACACCCACAATTTGATAAGCAGATTAGAATTGTGCGTAAGATATTAATGAGATGCCTATTGTTACGTCCCATAAGTCAGGAGTGCGTATAAATTCAGTGTATCCTTATGCTTATTAAAATTCAGTTAGTGAAGAACACCACATGCTATTGTTTTAGTAAATCATGGAAGCGATAAGCACTGAAGTGGCACTGAAGAAAAGAACAGCTCAACAGCTACAACATCTTTTGAAATAGGAGATATTGTGGATAAACAAGATAAAAAGATGTTGGTGGTGTGGTGGTACTTCTTGCAATTTAAAGTCCCACACATTTATTAAACATAAGAATATGCTGAATTTATAAAGATCACTAACTTTTGGGCATCACAATACGCATCTCATGAATATCTCAGGCACACTACTAAACTGCTTATCAAACTGTGGGCGTAAGTAAACGTCCGTAAAAAAAGCCGGCGTACAGACAAATGTTTCACCCGTCATCTAAAGCCCTGGTGATGACCCTGCATGCGCCACATAATTGCAATTCCATTGTGCCGTGATCGCGACAGCCCTAGTAATGCCTCAAGGGTTTAAAGCCGTGTCGACTCTGCATGTGGAGTTTGTGCTCTTTCAGAGTCATATGGATTTTCTCTTACAGTCCGCAGTCCAAAGACCTGCAGTTATATCACGTTAGACGTAAAGCTAGGGTAGGTGGCATCTCTAGACGGCCTGTAGTCTGTGGTTGAGCGGGCATGAACATGCATGGGCATTAACGCGAGTATACAATATCAAGATTAGTTATCTATTAGGAATTAATAGGTTTATTACTGAAATATAGACATGTACCATTTTTACAAACTAAAAGGTAATGATCTTTAATTGAAACTGCAAACAGATGAAAGGCAGACAACCTGCTAATTTTTAACAACAGATCCTATATCATAATTAGTCAAACACAGTAGTCTGTGTTTAGCCCAAGATGTGAGAAACCTTACAAAGATCATCTAAATTACAAGTACAGCCAGACAATTTCCCCCTAAACAGAAGACAATTTTCACGAGAGGTGGCATGCCCACCCCCCACAAAAAGGGAAAAAACAATTCCTCCCATTGGTCTCCCTCAAGCACGGAAGGAAGACTCAAACTAGATAGTACTCGGTACTCAGAATAGAGCTAAGTAGATAGCAGCCTCCTAGGAGCCACAAACACACAATAGTGGAAAAGACAGGCCATATACCAGACAGTGCAGTATTTACCATTTGAACATATACCAATACATACACATCTGACAATGTTAAGAAAAACTACATGGAAAAGGAGTGAAACATACCAGTCAGTCATCAACAATGACCTTCTGTTTATCAGTCTGATTTGTAAAAGGGGAGGATTTGGTAAATGATGTAATTCACAGCTTAGAGTTCAACCAATTTCAAAAAGACACAATAACAAAGTAGCAAAGAGATCAAAGAAATGGGACTTGTTCCCCTCTTCCTCCCCTCTTCTAAGTGGACTATGATTTCTGCTGTCTGCTGATGCAGAGCAAGGCAGCAAAGGCAAAGAGTATAAAGCTACATACAGCAGACAACCGAAACAGAACAGCCAGTGGAAAGTCAGACCTACGGCTAACACTTCATTCACCTGACCCTAAGGAAGTATGAGCAAAAACAGTAGATTATAGACCTTATACTGGGCAGATAATTTCCTTGCATTCTTCAATGATCAGCTTAGACCATGCTCTTCGTTTCCTAACTGAAACATTTACCTTCCGACAAACCAAATATGACCCAAGAGAAAGGAAGCTGACTTAGCCAAAATTACAAATTATAAAAAGGTTCAATCAAGCACATTGTAAAACGATTTTATTGTATTCTACCATTAATAATGCTGAGATATATGGTAATGTATTGATCCATTTCACAAAGTTTGACTTCATTTTGGCAGTCAGACTATTTTCTATTATTACAATTTTAATCACTGAATTTCAGTTCATATACATACGCAAAGAGCCTAAGTACATTTTTATTTGTCCTCTTACTATGATATTGGAGAACTTTGAGCACTAGATGCTACTGCATTTCTCTATTCTGAAAAAGTCAGGTAATTCCATATCACCCCGACCCATTTTTGACAGATGTTCAGGTGATTCCAAATAACTTGCCACAATGTAAATTTAGAGCATGATACAGAGATGGCAAGCAGACCATTTGTGAAAATTTTGATCACCTTCCGATGACAAGGACGGGGTGCCGACCTCCTGAGCCACTCACCACATGCACAGGTATCATTTTTAAATGTGTATCTTTCGCAATTCGCACCAGAACAAACAAACAAACAAACAAACAAACAAACAATCTTAAATCAAATATTTTTTCTTTTGAGCATATGGGTTCATTTGATTTTTGCAAAGTTCTCATACATTCTGAAGTATCGTTTTATGTAATTTGGCCACAAATCAGAACAGCAAAGATTTCATACTGATACAAAGATGCATCAACTTGCGTTTGCCCTATTCCCTTTAGGCACTTAATGCCTATGGTTAGTCTATTCAACAAACTGCACAAAAGCAGACAAACTCAGACTGATGGAAAACTCTGGTGCATGTGCGTTTCTGGGGGATGTCCACATCACCAAACCAATTAAGTTATTATATACTACATTTCAGCAAAGCTGAATTATTACAGTGCTGATTATCTTGAATATAAAGGAAAAAAATGTAAAGAATGTTGCTAGTCGAAATTACCCACACATTGAAGGACCTTATGGCATTGCATTTCACTATTTACTATGCATTTAAGGAAACACAAAACACAAAAAGGCACATAAAATGACAAAAAATATATAAAAAAAAATCTACCCTTTGAAATTTACTGGTCTAAACAGCATAACAATTAACCAAGTTAATAGAATTTCCATTGCTGATAGGTCAACACAGGGCTGGTTATCAATAAAATGCTGGTAACTACTATTCCATTATATACAAACCACTGACAGCATTACATCATATCATTTGCCCAGTAGATTTAGTATAAAAATGTTTCAATGTGCAATAAAGGCTAACATTTTAACACCAGCAAAGTCTCTGGTAACTGGAGTAATAAAGCAAGCAAGCAATTACACAATCTTGAATTACACTCTTATAATGGTAGCAAATGTAATCTTAAATTGCCAAAATAACAAAGGTAAGCGTACCAGCCAATACAGGGGATGTTTTATTTTTTTGGTTTACACGTACCTTAAGATGCATGATCTACATGTCCCTCATCTTTTTAAAAATCCTTTTAAAATGCTTCACTTGAAGGGTATGCAAGTCATCATATATTATTTCATTTTTCAAATCCTCTGCAAACTGAGATTGACAGGAAATATCTGACATGCAGAAGGAAAAATGGGAAAAACACCATACAACAGTTTTAAATTACAAATTTCATCTCGTGCTTTTCTGACAAAAAGGTACCATAAGTGCCAAATTTATATTTAAATACCTAACCCATTTTCCCACATGTGGAATCAGTGACTAGTAGTTCTATTATATAACAATTACAGCTAACGCTGTCTCTAATGACAGCACAACACCACAGATTAATTTTCTATACTGAAAACATTAGGCGAATAGTTAAGCTAACGATAAAAATAACTATGGCTAGTTTCAGTTTCTACGAGGTTTGTCTTCGTATGCTCCACATTTTGGCAAAACTATAAAAATGTGAAAATCAAGGCCTGGACATTATTAGGAAATCCATAAAATATATTAAAATGCTTGTAAGGTATCACTTTTATATCTTTATTACATACACATTTGTGTGTCCAAGTCTTTTTTTTTTTTTTTTTTTAAAAAAAAAAAAACCTTCAATACACTGCCTGCCTGACATTTGTCTATATAATGTCTTAAACAGGAATACTTTTCAGTAAATGGAAATAACCTCGAAGTCCAAAACTGTGAGGTGGTGCAACTGTCCAAACAATTGAGCAGAGGGAGAAAACAGAATGAAAATGTTAGTAATTTATCCATCCATCTTCTGTAACCACTTGTCTTATTCAGGGTCACGGGGATTCCAGAGTCTCTCTCGGGGGCTACGGGCACAAGGCAGGGAACAACCCAGGATGGGGAACCAACCCACTGCAGGGCACAATCACACACCATTCACCCACACAAGCACACCTACAGGCAATCTGGCAACTCCAATTAGCCTCAGCATGTTTTCGGACTGTGGAGGGAAACCCCAATGCCCTAAAGAAACCCCACGATGACACGGGGAGAACATGCAAACTCCACACACATGGAACTGGGGCAGAGACTTGTACAATGGTCCCAGAGGTGTGAGGCAACAGTGCTAATCACTGCATCATCCAGCCACTGCTAGGTAGTAATTTTAAAAAGTTGCAAAACTCTGTGGTTTTAAAACAATTAAGATTAAAATTCACAGTACATCAAATGTCGGGTGGTAGAACCCTGAAAATGATCATTTTCATGTTGCAGGGAAAATAGATAGATACTTTATTTATCCAGAAGGAAATTTAGGTCTCCAGTAGCTTATACACAGTATACATATACATAGGCGGACAGACCTATGACATTCACGCACACATACATACTGCAACAATACAAAGGAAAACAACAGGAGGCAGTGTGCTATACAGGCCTAAACACTTAAGTCCATCACACTCCTCCCCTTCCATGTGACGTTGAAGAGCTGTATGGCCCTAGGGACAAAGGACCTTCTGAGCCTGTCTGTTCTGCATGACAGAGACAGGAGCCTATCACTGAACATGCTCTTATGTTTGGAGAAAGTGGTGTGCAGAGGGTGACGGTCATTGTCCAGTATTGAGAGCAGTCTGCTCAGGGTCCAACTATCTGCAACTGATGTCAGTGACTCCAGCTCCATGCCCACCACAGTTAGCTTTTCTCACCAGCCTGTCCAGTTAGTAGATGTAACCAAGTACTGAAATAAATTATCAATTTCAAATCATGGCCTGCACAAATTCCATCAAGCTGTACAACCCGTGGAAAACCATAAAAATATTGTAATATGATCATTTTAAAAGTAAATAGTTTTATGTATGCACTTGATATGAAGGACAAATTTTTGTGCAGGTGTCCAAGCAGATGCCTGTTTAATTTAAAATCAGCTTGAAATGTCAGGTGGTACAACCACAGATAATAGTACTACTAATAAACACAAATATAAATACATTTTATGAATGTCTAATACTTTGTGGGTATTTAAATGGTTAAGTTTTCATTTTGAAAAAATATTTCCTATTTCCCACCTATTTGTCAATGTGTTTTAATATACTGACCGCAAAAGTGACCCAATCTTCTACTGCTTTTCATGATCAGCTTCGAAACTGTGCATCAACTTCCCTCTCCTCTAAAAAGGTAGATATGGCAAGTGACCTTAAAATGCAAACTAAGGGTATTTGATAAAATCATTGGCATACAACTTAATTTCAAAGCATATAGCTATCTATTTTTCTAAGTCAGCACTGGGAGTTAAGACAAAGTATTTTCTGAAAGTTAGCAAACAACAACTGAAAAAATGTTGATGTATAGATCGTGGTATGTCCCTGCAAACTTTTTCCAGTAAAAAAAAAAAACATTTCTTTATAACATGGTATAAGCTTGATAAATGTAAAAACTCTGGAGAACAACCATTCAAGAACAAAAGAGCAGTTAAACAAACAATGTGACAATTGAAGTACTGCTGTTCACAGTATTGGTTGTCCATCTGTGGGACAACTTTTTTTTTTGAGACACTTTTATGGTTTATAGAATGTTAAACAATATATTCTACAAAAAACCAAATTGTGCTGATCTTTTGCCAATTACAATTCGTTTGACAACTGCCATAGATGCACATCCCATTTGCAATTAATCATTTAAGCAACCATTTGGAAGACTCCAATGTACATTACCTACAAGACCAAACAATTTCATTTTCAAATTCAGGACCTTGAATCGTGACTACAGATTTTAACTCTGCATTCTTAAGACACTTTGGAGCTGCATGATGCGAAATTCTAATAATATCTATGCACATCCAACTGTCACACAGCAAGGACTGAGACTATCAATAAGCTAGAGTAAAACATTTTTACTCAGTCATAGGAAACAAAGCTTAGCAAGCTTTCATTTTCAATGTAATCTTTTATATCTTAATAAATTGCTTTAAAGTGTACCACCTAGGGCTGCACGATTTGGGGAAAATATCGAATCGCGATTTTTCAGACAGAAATTGCGATTACGATTTGATTTGCGATTAAATTTTTTAATGTCAAGCTTCAGTTGAATATTCAGTGTGTAGTAATTTTAAAACATATGACGCAGCATGAGATACCATCAGTATTAACTGGTCTATATTCTAATGCAAGGATGAGAATTTAAAGATGTGATGTGTCAAGTTAAAGTAATAATGAAAACAATTGCAGCAAAAAGAAAAATAGCGATCTTGCAGGTAACGCTGATTACCCTCCTAATAACATTAGAACCGCCTTTTCCCACGCCAATGAACAAGCAAGAACTAATTTGGTGTATGCAGCCCTTTTGTTTGCGCTATTGTGTTGTTAGCTGTTGTTATTAACGCTAATAACACTCAAAAAACCGTAATGTTCAATACAGAGTGGCTGTTCTGTCCTGAAACCGAAATTTTTAAAACGTAGTATGCATTTTATAAAATGCAAAAAATGCAAGTAGAAGTCGTTTATTGGTGATTTCATGTTGGTCGAAGTTTCTGCTTTTTAACAACTTTATACGGTTATTTTCTATACAAATCAATTCAGGTGAAACAAAATGTACGTGTTCATGGTTGCAAACTGTTTCAGACTCTCACGCAAGAAATCTTACGGCAAATCTATATTCCATTCTGAACTTAAAATTAGCTGCATCAAAAACTTTACGGCAGTTTGCAAATCCTACAGACTATTTACAAGGTAATATTTTAAATTAGAAGTAAAATGCAGTTTTCGACTGAAGCAGCTTATCATTCCTTTGCTTTGTTATTCGGACAAATACAAAACGAATGATTAAACATTATATGCGTCTCTTTTTGTATGTTTTCTAAATAAGACCGTGTGCCCATACCCAACTGTAATAGCGATTAAAGCGATCTATTCTTTTAGTATTGATGTTAAAGCAAGACTTATTTTATTACTGTTGTGGGATTAATCTTTGGAAACACTTAAATTTAATAAGCAGAAAAACATATGACAAACACGACTATTGTGGGTTTTACGGCTTTTTTGGAGGTCACCGACTCCACTGCTGTGAGAATTACTGACTGCCATTGTTGTTTTGATGGGTTAGCAGTATACTAATGCTATTGCCTATTAACAAAAACCAAAAGGTATGATACGCTGAAATATATTGCAGCTGGTGTTTAAAAGGAGCTTGCCGGTTCTATTGATGATAGAACCTTTCTGAAACAATCGCGGACCATGAAATAGGAAGGCAATTCACTTATAGCTCAGTAGCGGAATCAGTATCTTTCCGCACCGCGAATGTAACATTTTCCTTGGGTTTCACGTGTTCGCTGTTTGTGGGCCTATACGCCTTCTTGGGCCACTTCTGATTGGTGAGCATGACTGGCACGCGAGAAGCACGGCGCTTGTGATTGGTGAGAATGACTGTCACACAGGGAGTATTTCTAAAACTATTCTCACAGCAGTTTTAAAACCTGGGTCTGACGTGCTGTATAACGTATATCCTAAATCGCAAATTTTGCGATTTGCTAATCACGTTGTTTCAAATCGTGATTTCGATTTGAAATCGATAAATTGTCCAGCCCTAGTACCACCAATGTTTTTATGCGAGCTCTGCATGCGGACTCCAAGCCAAAACAACAATTTTCGTCCTTGCTGTCGACTCAAAAATTACTAAGAGTGCTGTGTTTCAGAGAAAGGAAACAAGGACGAGGAGAAAACCAAACAATTAATTGGTCACCAAAAGACAATCACCTTCTGCTGCAAATAGTCAGGATTCCATAGAGACAATACTGAGCAAAACTTTGTTGTTGGCAGGCTTTGTTTTAGAAAACTCGTGGCAACACCAGCAACTTATTTGACAGACCTTTGGTATAAAACTTCTAGTGGACCATAGTTTATTTTAGATCAATTTTCAGCTCCTTGCTTTATAAATATCGCAATATATACAATGTAATTTAAGATATTTAATTTATGCAGTAAAGGGTTCAGATGGATTTCAAAGTACTACAGATTGTCATTCTAGTTTATTTATCCCAGAAACTAAATCACTAACATGACCATGTGTTCAAAAACCAGTTATAGAAGACTGATTTAATTCACCTATCCATTTCCTAACATTCCCTTATTAAACCAAATCAACATATTTCCTGATTAATTTTTAAAACATC